AGTGGAAACACAGCAGGAAAGGGACAAGGATAAAAAGGGTGGTATCAGGCCTAAAAGTCTGATTGTTGCTAGTAGGGATGGAATGAGGTCTGAAGACAGTGAAGATCCTCATGCATGAACACTTACTGTTGAAAGATGGAGCTGTGAATATATACACTTCATTATCCAAGGTCCTCTTGTAGAAGCTGGACTCATATGTCTCTGGATTCTCTGCCCATTCTTCCCCAGCACTGAAAACATTCCAAACTCAAAACATAAATGAAGGATTTCAAGCATAAAGCAATAAAATACAGTCATCGAACTAATGGACTCCATGCTCACAAAGACCCTCAGTCAAGGTAACCCTAAATGCTTGAACAAGTGACAGCTGGACTTTACTCCTGACCACATGTCCTGTTGGAAGTTTACCTCTCCACTACATATTTCTACTGCAGTTGTAATTTTAACAGAATAAGGCTGAGTTCTTCCAACAAGGGAGCAACAAGTTATGAATTCAGATACTATACATCACATGTGTCAAATTCAAGGCCTACAGGCCAAATATGGCCCACCACAGCACTGTATGTGGCCCGTGAGAGATTGAAAAATGTTTTCATGTATTAATTTAAGCAAATGCTGCTTTACAGCCAGCCCTGAAAATAAACTACATCTCCCACAATGCATGTCATTTTTACCCACAAAGTGACCGAATCCATCCAGTAGGTGGAGGTGTACAGGGCTTTAAATTAGCTTAGTAGCTTAGTACCAGTAGGTTACTTTAGCTACAGCTCAGTTGTACTGGGGAGCGGGAATTTCTCACTTAAACATAAAAAATAAATAAATTTAAACACCCCTCCAATAGAATATCCCTGTAAGAAAGTGGGAGAGTTCAGAATTCAAGACAGCAGCTACTTACCACAACTCATCAGTGAGTAAAATTCTCTTATCTTTACTTGTAATAGTATTTCTATAGTATTTATTTCACATTTAGTCAGTTGTACTCGCAGTACTTTTCAGTGTTTATAAGACACGTCAAAACACTGTTTCTACGCAGGACACACCACATAGAATATTTTTATATTAGACCATTGTCTTTCATAAAACCAGATGGAAGTATGAATATATCTAGACAATAATGAATCACAAAATACTGACTCAGAGCATACACACTGGTAGCCACAAAAATATCTACAGTATTGGGAGGAAGTAAAAAAATAAATCTTTTTTTGAGTAGTTCAGTCTACACTGTTGGAGGATAAAAGTCTCAACATGAGGCATGCCCAAAAGCTACACACAGACCAGCATCTGTTCTTTGACTCACGGCACCCACTGAGCAACAAACTGGCCATCATCAGAAATCTAAACTATTTAGAATGTTGTCTAGAGAAAGGAGCAAAAAACAGATACAAACATGCAAAGAAACCTTTCAAATCCATGACTTTGTGAAGTCAATTTTGAAATGTGATAAAAAGAGAAAAATATAGAAAAGTGGAAATTGCATTTGGGGCACATGTGTTGGGAAATTAAGATGGGTTTTCTCAAGATGCAAAACTTTTAGTGCATTTCAAATTTAGCTTTAGAAATTCTTTTCTAAAAATGAAACAGATCCAACACTGAAATAAAAAAACACCCAAACACAAGCTAAGCAGTGCAGTGTGTGTAGTCCATTGCAGCAAAGAAATGCACAAACCATTTATACAAGGGTCAACTAAACAATCACTTTTCAACAAGAAGCAAATAAAAAAACATGAGCTCATCAAGACAGCTGTCCACCCACACATTCAAGAAAACAGGAACTTTTTGAAGACAGTAAAGTATACACTGTAACTGGAGGAGGCGGATGATAAGAGGAATGAAGGAAGTTGTGCTAAACGGAAAAATAAACTATTAAATACCTGGTTTCAGATATCACTCATTTAGAGTGATAATGTGACTTTGGCTCTCGTTTTCAATTACTTTCACAACTAACTACATTTTGAAATGTGACCAAAACATCCCACATGTTGGCTGAGTTTGACAACAACCAAAACTGATTATCACAATATCCTATTAGCTCTTACCCAGTCAGACATAGATAAAAAAAATGTCATCAATAAACAAGAAAATAAATTCAGTCTCTTTCTATTCATGTGCTTTGGTTAACTATGGCTTGTTTAGCCAAAGAAGACTTCCATAATCTAGTTCAGGCATGCAATGATAAACTTGAGGTTTGGCTTTTTTACTCATACCCTGTGCTGGATTTGCCAGCTCTTACAGTAAAACCTAAGATTATACACAGGAAAAAAAATTGGGCAAGTACCTTCTTGGATAGACTCTTGTGATTCCTCCATCTGTAGCAACAAACCTGGCCACCATCCCATCCCTGAGAACACGAAAAATACCAGCCAATTACATGTCCAAATCAATAGTGTACAGCTAATAAGAAAAACTTATTTGAAACCTGTGACGATAAGCGGCACTGATACAGTAACACAAACAGTTCAAAGACAAGTGACTCGTCTTTGTACTGTACAGCCTAATGATGAACAGACACACTTCAGAAATGGCAAAAGTGTGTTCGGATTATTTCAGACATATGGACACACTTTAAAAGGGGAACAAAGTGATGTAATTACTTTGTTTTCCTCCCAAAACAGCATGTCTTGGCTTAGTTCACTATGTTGGAAATAATGTGCATTTTGTGCGTTGCTTTCATCGTGTTTCACGAGTAAGATTAGGTCAAATCATCTACATTAGAGAATAAAAGGCTAAGACTTTGGCTCTCTTAGCCAATAAGTGGTGCATGAAATAAGCATCAGCTATCATACTTCAGAGGGAAAATGCTCAGTTGTAAAACAGAATGCAGTGCATGAAGCAAATGTTTTTAGCATTTTACTAAGAAAGTTCATATTTCTCCTATGTCAAAAAAATGGTTACATTTTTGCATTGCTTTAAATATAGAAGAAACACATCTTTGGCACATACACTGTTTGCTCTTTCCAAAGTTTAACCAGTTCAGCTGTCAGACCTGCATCCAGGATCAGACGGCTCACAAGAGACTCATTGCCTGCGGATTAAGGACAAGATAAATTTCACATATTGTAAATATTACAGCACCAAACTATGAGGTAGGAAAGCTATGGGAATGGAAATAATGGCAGTTTAACACATCTGGGCAGAGAAAGTGAACGCCTTTAGATTGCAAAAAAAAAAAAAAAAACTTTCTCGGTCAAGTGTCACTGACCAATGCACTTAAACGAGCGCTCACATCTGTTTATTGGCAAACTATAAGGCTTTCAGTGATCCAGAATGTAAAGGCAGTAGTTGGGGTCTGCAAAAGGAGCAGCCAAAGCTTTTCTCAAGATGAATGTTAAAAAAAAAATCTCCTGACATCTTAAAGCAGAGTGACCTGAGTAGCCATTATGACTCAGAGAACAGACAGTATTTTGTGAAGGGTTGGCTATTATAAAGCAGATAATGACAAGGGATTGAATTTCAGCTTCCTTGTCAAGAGAAGTACTTTTCAAAATGAAATCATTTAAGCACATGTTCGTAAAGGATTCTACATAATTCTTATTCAATTCAATTCAAATTCAAAAACACTTTATTGATCCCAGAGGGAAATTAGGTAAATTATGCAGTAAATCTTAAGCATTTTTGTAAATTATAAATCCCTTTCTTTTCTTTTTTTCATTTACAAATGCTCAACATAACAGCAAGAAAAAATAATCAAGAACAACAACTATGCCAATATGACTTGACCTTGGGTTCAAATGGATCCAGGATATGTTAATCCATTTGCTGGATGATGGTGGTAAGCCATACTTGAAGTGAGATCCATTAGAGGATAACAAATCAAACATCATGAGTCACTGTATAGAATGACAACATCAGGCTTCTAGGAAACTCAGTCGATCAGTCTGAGGTCACCCTGCTCAAACAGCACTGACCCTGAGATCATAATATGAGACTGGGGAAATTGATACTGTGCATCTACTTTACATATACTAACAAAAAACATATTTATTACATTATGTAGGAGAATGAAAAACACTGTAAACTTGTCTGGGTGAATTTGTGAAGTTGAGTCATGGTCACTACAATCCTGCTTAATTAAAATAAAAAAAACAAAAAAAAACAATGCATGAAATAAACACAACCAGTATGAATGTGCCAAGTGAAGTAGCAGTGAAAGAGATGCATGACTCACATGCATCTGGAGTGTTTCTATCAATATACTGGTTGAAGTCGAGGAGAAGCTGGGTGTTGTTGAGTGAGAGCTTCAGCTCTTTGCAGTACTCCCTGAAGAAACAGTATTGTTGAGTTTGAATCTCTGTCCCTTGTCTGTTTTTGTGTTCTGTAAGGTGATGTCTACAGTGATGGGAGGACCACTCACCTTGGTGCAATGAAGGTGTAACCAAACTCATCGAAACCTTCTGGTTGTAAGGTTTCCATGGCTTTAAAAAAACACACACAAAATGGCTGGTTTAGGCTTATAAACTGTCAGAGTTTAGAGTTTCAAAAATATATACCAATCATCTATAACATACTGACACATGAAAGCAAAAGTGAGGAACATTCAGGTCTTGTTAGAGTGTAAAGCTTTCTAACATAATTTTCTATGACTACGAGCCTTTCTTCATTCCCGTATGCTGTGCCTCTTAACCTCTGAGCGAGGTAGTGAAAAAGTGGGCCAGCGTAAAACACCAGATTTAAACTTTCTGTGTTTTTGTCATTTTTTTAAAATTTATTTTTCACAAGACCCATGAGCGTCTTGCTGCAGAAGAGGAAATGCAAAGGCTAACAACTTTATCAGCACAGACTAAAATTATGCTGTGGCGTGGATATAACCGTAATAATTATAAAGTTATTTTGAAACTCAACACCCTAAAAATGTGTACGTATTTTGATCCCTGTAATATAAAAAGGGGCAAGAGTCCCTCTGCGACACGGCAACTTGAGTGACAGCAACATGTCAGAGCTGCCATGTTTTTTTCCCATGCCTCTTTTAATACCACACTGATTAATGTCCTCTGAAAGAGCACAAGAGCACGGTAAGAGAAAGTCCCATCTGTGACTTCTGAACTGCCATGGAATGGGCTGTTCACCCATTTAATGTGGTGCTATCTTCTGAAAGATATTAGTGAAATTCAAAAGTGTAAAGGTTTAGCCATGAGTTTGCCATGTTTTCCACAGGTCCTCCAAGTGGAAAACCATGTTACTGACCATGTTTAACAATCAAATGGGAAACATTTGCAAAACATGATAATTTAGGATGTTTTCCCAAATGAAACCATCATAGAACCCTATTTTAAAAGGTTTGAAGTATCACTTTGAGATGATTTGTCTGGATGCCCTATGTAGTCAAAGCAGTCTTGTAGAGTGAGCTCTTCAATTTCAGATGAGTAGTCAGAACACTGTGGCTGATCAGTTTATATTTCAGTAGTTAAGCAACTAGAAAGTATATGTGATAAAACAACTGTTTTTTTTGCAAACATTGGTTAATACAGAGACACATCAGTACACATTCCACAACAAGTTCCCACATCTACAAACACAGACAAAAAAAGGTGCTGGACAGATATGAGGTGATACAGTAAGGTATAGAGTGTGTAAATGGAGAAGCACTGAGGAGGGATGAGAGAGTAGCTGACTGAGAAATACTTGCCTTTTTGCCCTGTTGTGACCCCAAGGAAGAAGAGTGGTGAGAGAGGCAAAAAAATAAAAAGACAAAAGATGATAAAATGCATTCATCATCTGATAAATGCTGCCTGCAGAAAGTTGCTGGAATTTATCAATATTTCCTATAGCAGATACTAAAGTCTACATAAAATTAATAACAATTATTACAAAAAAAATCATGGATAACAGCATCAAAAATCATCATGCAGTGCAGTTTATAAAAACACAGAACACAGCATTATGGAAAACAGACAAGAGAGGGATCACGTAAAATGATAAAACCCCAAAAGCTAGGTAGTATTACTGAAAATTTTCCTCCAAAGCTCTCCTTCTCCTGATTTAAAACACCATCTTGTTATTTTTATCTCATAAATGACATGACAGGCATCAATAGCCATCATTCACTGATCTCTTAAAATAAAGACTTTTTGGACAGTTCCTTTAAAATATATTGACTCATGTGGTGCAGTCTGTGAAAGCAATTACTGAGCACCGAGTTTCCTTTGGGGTCTCGGACATCTGCAGGATAAAGTGATGTCTTCCACATAAAACATAACAAGTTGATTCATTGTCATTGCCTCTATAAAACTGGGCAGGGTGGCTCAGTCTAATGGCTTTCAACACCGTTACGCATTTTTTCTGCTTTTTGCCTATCTGTCAGCATCTTTTCACCATAAGTATTGGGTCATTTACTCAACAAATACGACATTCCTCAAATCACATGAAAAACATCTATACTCAACAAAGACACCCTTGGAGAGAAACCCTTACTATTAGTAGAACAAGTGGCTGCAGAAACCACCAACTGTATGAAAGTGATAAGATAGATTGGGGTTTAGGTGGTCTGGCTCCAATGTGAAACTCTATATGGCTGAACAGGGAACTTTAGAGTCCCAAATCCCCATCAGAGTAGTCTGCAGCAGTAAGGCATGGTGTGTTGCTTTCTTTAACAGGCCTGTAAATGTGCTGACAGCGTTTATGGCACAGTGACAGACTCAGCAGAGGAGTAGTGAAGTACAGGCTGAAATAGTCACTCAAAATCTCATTTGATAGAATAACTGCACCGCTAGTTGTTTATACACTGTGGCGTCACGTCAAAGTTATGAAAATTCCACCGTACAGCAAGATGACGGCATGCTTTCTTCCCCCCAACTCATATTATGTGATCAAAGCAAAGATCAACAGTCATACAAAGAACCATCCAGCCCTTCAACCAAATACGTTAGTTTGATCAACGTTTGCTATGTGAGTCAAGTGTGCAGAAGATGATTTCATCTTTAAAAAGGCAAGATGGAAAAGCTGAACTAATATTTTCAACAAACTTAACCATTTATTTTTTCAGTTTCCATTGAGTTATTCATTTTAGCTTGTTAAGGCCTTATTAAGGTTATAAAAGCAGTTAGAACAGGCAAAATGACATTAGATTTAAGGCTATAATTATACACTATTTTCTTAACTCAAAAATCAACAACCATGTTATCCTTTTAGTTTCCTAACATATTGTTTTTTCTCCACAATGAAAACAATTTAATTACATAGAAATTGTAAATTAAGAAAAAAGTAATTAATTAGTAAATTTACAGCTGTTTGAATAATATTTGCATCCCAGCGTGTGTGGTATATAGCATTACAAACAAACAACATGCTTATGCAGTGGGGAGCAAAACAATCAAAAGAAAAAAAAAGAATAACTGTGAATACTTGCCCCAAGAAGAAGCTGTGGAATATTATTTTTTGAAAAATAAAATAAAAGGAAAACTTTTATCAGAATCAATAATACAAGACTTTGCACAAACAGTTTAATACACAGAATATACCTATGTGTAAAAGCTGTCCTCTTAAAACAATACTTGGATAGTAATTTATAACATCTCATCCTCAGGTTTCAATTAGAAAAGGAAACTCAGGCTTAAATACATCAGTGCAAGAATAAATGGGTTTAAATTATATTTCATAATGTTAAGTGTGGAGGATTAAAATAAAAATCTATTTGTTAACCGGGACAAGAATCATAAAAATGGGAAAGATTTTCTCTTATTCTTCGCCAGAGAGCCAGATGAAAGGAATAAAACGAGATAGACGTGTCAAATTTAAACAAGATCAAACAATGTAATATTTGGGCTGGGTATATCAGCGCAAAAGGCTGTTGGATAGATTGAGTGGGAGTAAAGATCAACTGACCAGTGGGCTACACTACAAAAAGAACAGCTCAGTGGGGGTTCACTGATCTGAGCTGCAAAATACAAAGGAGTGGCTGTGGTTGCAGATAGCAGAGAATAATTCAAAGCAAGTGGAGATACTTAAGACTACTTCAAGAATGAATGTAAGTTTAATGTGACAGATCAACAACATTTCATCTCATTGTTCTGCATGTCTGGATGCATAGATACTCACATATGGCTTGTTTTATATCATCCCCCAGTTGTGCCTGAATGAAGTGTTCACTGTATTTTGGTAAAACAAGAGCCAGGCTGCAGAAAAAAAAACACGATAATTAAACTATGTAGATGTGTTTAATTTAATTAAAGCATGACCTAATCAGAATTAACAGACTACAGAGAAGGTGCATAGTCAGCAAAATGAAAAAAAAAACCTGTAATTTTTAAATACTCAGAAAAATAAAATGACTCGAAATGATTATTGCCTCTTTTAGCTGAAATAGTTTGCATCAACAGAAATATTTTTAGCATTCAGTAAAATAAGCTTAATAAACCTTCAATAGAATAAAACAGGTCTCACCTGTAGTCTGTTCCATTGACTGGCGCCCATGTGTATGTCCTGACTCCTCTGTCTATGTATCTCTGAAGAAAATCAATCCCAAATTTAAGTACAATTACCCAGAAAAAAGAAGAGGGTAAAGAAAGAAAATGGATGAATGGATGGAGCTTGGGTAAAAATTGTGTGATACTCTATATAATAAATAGTTTTTTTACCTCATCTTGAGTTTTCACTAAAGTGTCAATGGTCTGTTCTCCCGTCTCTCCATCGATCATATTTTTTCTAATCTGCATAAAGAAACAAAAAAAGAAAAAGAAATACAGAATATTGTGACCATGACTGAATCTGGTGCAGTACTGGCTCATTTGTTGGCACGGTGCCTAATAATTCCAAGCCATTTTGTGGTTGATTTGTTGATCTGGATACTTTACCCCCACTTTTATGTCATTCTCCAGCTCTGCATCAAGGAAATCCAGAGTTACAGGCTCCTGGAATTTAGGGTTCTGTAAAGGCACAATATTCAAATCTGAAATAAGGCATATTTACAGAAAACTAAACACACACACACACACACACACACACACACACACACACACACACGCACACACAAATAAAACAGCTAAGAGAAACAAATACAATTTTTTTGTACTCATTGCATTTCCAGAATAAAGCTGGTAACATTTTCTTGCAAGTTAGCTGTATTTAATGCAGAATTTCTTTTAATAAAATGAAAGCATAAATAATCTGATTTATGAAAAAGTAAATTTTAATAATTCTTACATATCAAAACATATTCTCTGAATCAGTTATTTTTTTTAGTGCTTTTTGAGGAAACCTCAGATTTGAACAGAAAAGCTTCCAACACAGGGTTTATTAGTTTCAGGTGTTAAGTCCAGTCATTTATCCACATGTTAACAACATATATGTCTATATATATATTTATTTGTGACAGAATGTTCTATATTCTATTCAGAAGCAGTGACAATAGCTTCTCCCAACACTTGAACCTAATCAAATCCAGGACATGAAAAGCAAAGGCCATGTGCCATATGGCAGCACTTTGACACTACATCTGACACCAGACACAGCTGAATCTGATTTGATACAAAGTGACACTGAACTCTATGAATGTCCTCTCTTAAAAATCCTATATGTCTGAGCTGCTTTATGGTGATATAAAATAGTAGCAGAAATCTGGACCTTCTCTATAAAAGAAGAGGTCGTGGAATCTGATCCCAGCCTGCCCTCCGCAGCATTTTCAAACTTAAAATGCTGCATGATGTGCTAAAAGAGAATTGTTAAAGAGGTATCTTGTGAGTTTTAGGTAAAGGAATACACATTTTTCTTAATATATATATATTTTTAGGGGTTAGAGAGGTGAATAACTAGCCATTGCAATAGGATAACTCAAGTTTTACATAATGAAAATGTGATGAACAAAGCAATACACTGGCCAAAAAAAAGCTATTAATAAACAATCACGTTCTGTAAAAGGCATAGATGAAGTCTCTTACATGAGATGGCAAGTGAAATAAAACGAAGCAGCGAAAGGAAGACGATGAAGATGAAGCAGCTCAACATGAAAATTAGAAAAGAAAGAATAAAAGATCAAGAGGTTCAACACAGGCTGGAGCAAAATAAAACATCATTTACACACTGAGGCATGATGCGAGAAAATAAAAAAGGGGACACTGGAAGATCCAACAAGAAGTTTAAATGAGGGGTGGTGTCAAAGCAGAAAAACATGAAAAAAAAGAAAAAAACTGCTGCAATGTATGTCAGCAAGTGATTTAGTGAGTTGGGGTGAAGGTTTGAGATGAAAATAAAAAACACTGAAGCAAGACAGAAAGTTTGGCTGTGATATTTCACATTAAACATCAAGGTCACTCTCAGTATTCCTCATTATGGCATTTGGCTGATTCAGTGAGAATGTGCCTCGGGCCTGATGAGAAAACAGTTTGCTGCAATGCAACAATAAAATGAGATCATTTTGATGGTGCCTTGTTACCGCATCAGGTCACCCTAAGGTCATATTACTCTGTCGAATAATTTGATATGGACTCCTGAAACTTATTATATAACATTATTGGAATAAACACACCAGAATTTCAAAAAAAAATACCATGAACGTGTGTGGTTTTAAACTCTTGAGTGCTATGACTGTAAATGTGAAATAAAGGAAGAAAAAACATAGATAGCAGCCTTTTGGAGCAAAACTAAAACTGATGATTCATACAACAGTGTTCTTTACAACACCTAATATTCTTGTTACATTACCTAATGATGACACAAGTTCAATATATTATCTGATGACTAAAAACAACAGCTGCATCATTTGGTATAGAGGATACTACAGCACAATTTCTGCAGGGTTAATCTAATCACCAATTCAAGAGCATTAGGTTAATGGGTAAATATGGATCTCTATACTACTACTCAAAAATATATTACATACAAGCATGAATCAGCATTATCCATTTAGTTTTGTATGCTTTTAACATGACGGCAAATTAATAATTTCTATTGATAGAAGTGATAGTTGGCTAATGCACCTATGACTACATGGGCTATGTAATAGAAAAATGGTGAAGCCACACCTACAGGTACTAGTACATCTAAACTTAGCACACAAAGTAAGGGCATTTGTGTTTGGCAGATTATTTCTTTGTTGTAACAATGCTTCTTAGCAATAAGTCTTATACAGTTGTAAAGCCTGTTAATTTTCCTTTTAAATGGTGCCAGATTTGTAAGGAACATGCATTAGTGAGACGAGCAGTAGAGCTGAGTATGTGGGTTACACACATGAAAAAATTGCCAAATCTTGACTGCCAAACAGTTTATTTTACTGTTGCTATTGACACTTGGAGCTTCTGGTACCCCCAGGTGCTGCCAGTCACATGCCAGCTACAAGCTTTATTGCCAAAGGTTATTGTTACAACAAAGAAACAATCTACCAAACAGTTTTTTTTCTTTTACTTTTTGTGCTAAATAAATGTCTCACCTCATGGAAAGTGACAGCATACTTATTACTGAACTTTAGCTTCCTGTTTTGTATCCTTTTCTGAGAAAATTGTGAAAACAAAAACGTGCAGGGACAAATTCTGGTGTTAAATATGTGGGATTGTTTTTGCAGTAGTCATTTAGAAAAAAATAGTCCTAGTTACATGCACATCTTATACCAGATTAAAATCTTTCAGGTCTAATGCAAATATGGTGGGAGAGCAAGAAAGGACAAATATATCTTACTTTTAAAGAACTAGATGATAAATAATATAGATCTTATCAGTGAAGCCTGAGGCTTTTAAACACACTGCTTGTCAAGGTGTCATAATAAACTTGACACCTCTTCAGACTCATTTTCTTCCTTGTTTGCAATTTAAAGGCCAGTCTTCATCCCTGATTATAAAAGTCACTTCTTTTTTATGTTATTTTCCAGTGCATAGAGTTTGCAGGCCTACACTAATGGGAACTGACAGCATATAAATCACCACATCAATAAAAAGCATTAAAGTAAGAACCAGAAAAACGAAGCATAATTTGATCCATAACTGTCGTGAAGTGTGTGTGGTCTTCAGTTTCAGATCAGTGGAGGGGCCGTTGTGAAGTTCTGGGCAACACATGGCCCCATGCAGCCTGTCAGTGCCAGCTCGCCTCGGGGCTGAAGTTGGGTGAGCTGCAGTGGGATTTACTGAAGAGGAGGGCTGGAACCTTTTGTGGGGTCACGGCTAATTTTTACTGGGTCACGTCTTAATATGTGTCGGTGACTAGAAGTCCAGATGCATTTCTTTGACAAATTGTGAAACTACTCAGGTCCTTAAAAAAGGCCAGGACAGACATCTTCAAAAACTGGATTTATTGCAGTTCACTACTTCACAGTAAAACTAGCGTTTCTTTAAAATTTTAAATTTGTCAACATAAAAGATAATATTGGCAATAATATATACACATATATAT